GGTATGTTTTTTTTTGTGTTTATCAGGAGGATATAGAGAAAGAGAGGATAAGAGGGAAAGATACAGGGATTTAGACATCCGTCGAATAAACCGAAACCTTGGAGAAAGTGAAAGAGAGGGAGAGAGAGAGAGAGAGAGAGAGAGAGAGAGAGAGAGAGAGAGAGAGAGAGAGAGAAAGAGAGAGAGAGAGAAATATGAATGGCCGAACACAGAAACGGGCAGATAGATATTATGCTCTTATAATACAGATCCCTAAGCGTACCCGGATACAAGGCAATAATAATATTGTTTATTGTGCTTTTATAGATCGGAGCCAACCTCACTGACTACGAGTTTCTCTACGTTGATTTCTTCTTGGTGACGTCCTTTAGCGTGACGTGTAAGTACCTAAGCCCTTGTTGTAGGGAGTTATTTATTTCTTATCACTGTACTCTGTTTGGCTGCCTGTCGATACTGATGGTGACTGTGATTGCGATTTAAGCCTAACGAGAAAGTGTATGGGCTGGCTATAAGCTACACGGCCTGCTTTGTATCTACAATATCTTTCACATTTTGGACACTAGAGTCTGTGAGAAGCATTGTTACTATACGATGGGCTTCGGCCTTCACCTGGTCAAAGTTAAAAATAAATTCCTACCAAACTGATGCTTAATGTGTCCCGCGTGCTCACATGACCTTATGCAGTTGCGAGCGCCTTAAAACACTTTATAAAATAATTACATAAAAAAAACTTTTTAAAAAACTGATGCATTATCTTGATGATGATGATGATGATGATGATGATGATGATGATGACGACGACGATGACGACGATATTGTTGGTGATGGTGATGATGGTGTTGTTGTTTTTATTGTGGTCGCTTAGAACCTTTGCTCTATTTTCTATTTGTAATTATATTGGTATTGTTCGATGTTAGTCAGCAGAACCGGCCCGTATAAAGACTTGGTCAAGGATAGACCGCTGGTCAGTCTGCTGTCTCCTGGTCCTATCATCAGTATCGTCATCCAAACCATGCTGGTCATCGCTGCTCAGATCTACGTTTTCTTCAACGTGCGGGAACAGCCTTGGTGAGTAGATAATAATACTCGTAAATGTGTCACGAACGACCCTGTGGAATCAGGCGATCGTCAATTTTGTGGCGTATAATGCAGTTATTAATATTATTGTAAATCTTGTTCATTTGCGTTATTTGGATTAGACGTCGAGATATTTGCTACAGAAGGAGATGAGGGTTTGTTGGTATGAGAGATAAAATTATCGAGAAAAGGGCCGCCAAAGTTTGTTGACTTTCAAAGCTTGAGTGTAATTGGATACTGGAAATTTACATTTTCCGTGACTCTAATGAACGCTTTTCGGTAATAACCACACAGAAGTGCGTTTTTACAAGGGCATAAAAGGTGTTGAGCCGTACAAAATCGAAAAAATTGTACACGAGTGCCTGATTTCACCACGTTGCCTCACAAATAGCTTTTCTGTAGCTCACATCCCCGCGTGACATCAAGATCTATGTGCTTTATACCTATATTATGTAATTAATCAACCCAGCAGTACACCGTTAGAACACCCAGAAACATTCTCAGCTTCACGGAAAGCATACAGTGCAAACAGCCGATTAAGCGCTAAAATATTAACAAAGTGTCAAGATCTTTAGTTGTCTGTAGTCAGGTGCCCATTCTCTTCTATGACGAAAATCCATGTTAAGTGCCTTTCCCTGGGGCGCAACGCCGGGCCCTTGCTGACAGGCTCAAACCACGACCTTTCCTTTGCGAGCCCAGCAGCTTTACCTCAAGACCCCCGTGCCACCGATACACACTCCTGGGGAAACAGCTTTAGATTTATTTTTGAGGGGGTTGGGATTTTGCTTCTTTTTTAATGTCGGTCTTTTACACCCCCGTCTGGCACAATTCGCAGCATTTATGAGGCAGGTGTTGACCCTGGCTGTAAGGGCAAACCCGGGCCGAGTGGGATTCAACATCCCAGCGGATAAACGAAGATACTCGATAAGAAATTCTCCCAACACTAGAATCGAACTCAGGCATTCTACTTATTGCGGCAAAGTGCCTAACCATTAGTGAACCATAGACTTGAGTTTACTCTACTTTACCCTTCCTCTTGTGTCGTTAGATGTCGAGAAGAGGTGCACTTTTCGTGCCAAAGGCTAGGTGGGTGGCTTCTGTTGTCGATATGTTATAAGACCACAGACGCCGTTGTTTTAATGAGCTGACACATACGCACGAGGGAACATAATAATTATACTACATGAGAGAACACCCGTGGTGGATAGATACATACACGTGATGGAACCGACTTAATGAGAAGATATACGTACACGAGAGGGCCCAATGTTTATAGTTCAGTGCAGTTGAAGATGCAGTAGTAGTAGTAGAAGTAGTAGTAGTAGTAGTAGTAGTAGTAGTAGTAGTAGTAGTAGTAGTAGTAG